CTACCTTGTATACGCGTGGATAAACGTTTTTCTGCCGATGATACTGCATCTGACCTGAATGAACTCGTTTTCAGCTGCATACCTCGAAAAGTAACTGACCTTTCCAAATAATTCTTTCTGCTCGTTCTCGCTTTTTGCTTTTTCGNGCTTTTTCGACGTATCTCCTTGATAATAAGATTTTCGGCCGATGATACTACATCTGAGCTGGATGAACCCGGCTTCTACTGCCAATCTGAAAAAATTAAACGAACTTTCCAAATCAAACATTCTGCTGGTTCTCGGCTTTTTCCTGTGAGTTTGTATATGCGGAGATTTACGTTTTTCTGGCTATGATACTGCATCTGAACTACTTGAACCCGGTTTTAATTATACCTCGGAAAGTAAACGAACAATCCAAATGATTCTTTCTGCCGGTGCACGGTTTTATATGTTAGCGTATATATGCGTCGATATACGTTTTTCTGCCGAAGATGCTGCATCTGAGCTGAATGAACTCATTTCCAGCTGCGAAACATTAAAAAGTAAACGACCTTTCCAAATCAAACTTTCTGCTGGTTCTCGCCTTTTTGCTGTTTCGGCGTATCTCCTTGAAAATACGAATTTCTGCAGATGATACTGCACCTGAGCTGAATGAACTCATTTCCAGCTGCGAAACTTTAAAAAGTAAACGACCTTTCCAAATCAAACTTCATGCTGGTTCTCGCCTTTTTGCTGTGAGCTTGTATGTGCGTGGATATACGATTTTCTGCCCATGATGCTGCATCTGAGCTGCATGAACCCGGTTTCACCTTCCTATCTGAAGAAATTAAACGACCTTTCCAAATCATACTTTCTGATCGTTTTCACTTTTTGCTATTTCGGCGAATCTCCTGGAAAGTACGATTTTCTGCCGATGATGCTGCATCTGAGCTTCTTAAACCCGCTTTTAGCTGCATGCCTGGAAAAGTAAACGACCTTTCCAAATCAAACTTTCTGCTGGTTCTCGCCTTTTTGCTGTGAGCTTGTATATGCGTGGATATACGATTTTCTGCCAATGATGCTGCATCTGGGCTGAATGAACCCGGTTTTAATTGTATACCTCGGAAATAAACGACCTTTCCAAATCATACTTTCTGCTTTTTCTCGCTTTTTGCCATTTCGGCGTATCTCCTTCAAAATTCATTTTTCTGCCTATGATACTGCACCTGAGTTGAATGAACTCATTTCCAGCTGCGAAACTTTAAAAAGTAAACGACATTTCCAAATCAAACTTTCTGCTGGTTCTCGCCTTTTTGCTGTGAGCTTGTATATGCCTGGATATACGATTTTCTGCCGATGATGCTGCATCTGAGCTTATTAAACCCGGTTTTAGGTGCATGCCTGGAAAAGGTAAACGACCTTTCCAAATCATACTTTCTGCTCGTTCTCGTTTTTTGATATTTCGCCGATTCTCCTTGAAAATACGATTTTCTGCCGAAGATACTGCATCTGAGCTGAATGAACCCGGTTTTAACTGTATACCTCGGAAATAAACGACCTTTCCAAATCATACTTTCTGCTCTTTCTCGCTTTTTGCCATTTCGGCGTATCTTCTTGAAAATACGATTTTCTGCCGAAGATGCTGCATCTGAGCTGGATGAACTCATTTTCAGCTACGAAACTTTAAAAATAAACGACCTTTCGAAATCAAACTTTCTGCTCGTTCTCGCTTTTTGATATTTCGCCGATTCTCCTTGAAAATACGATTTTCTGCCCATGATGCTGCATCTGAGCTGCATGAACCCGGTTTCACCTTCCTATCTGAAGAAATTAAACGACCTTTCCAAGTCATACTTTCTAATCGTTCTCGCTTTTTGCTGTTTCGGCGAATCTCCTGGAACGTACGATTTTCTGCCGAAGATGCTGCATCTGAGCTGAATGAACTCATTTCCTGCTGCGAAACTTTAAAAGTAAACGACCTTTCGAAATCATACATTCTGCTCGTTCTCGCCTTTTTGCTGTGATCTTGGATATGCGTGGATATACGATTTTCTGCCGATGATGCTGCATCTGAGCTTCTTAAACCCAGTTTTAGCTGCATGCCTGTAAAAGTAAACGACCTTTCCAAATCATTCTTTCTGATCGTTTTTTCTTTTTGCTATTTCGGAGTATCTCCTTGGAAATACGATTTTCTGCTGATTATATTTCATCTGAGCTGAATGAATTTATTTCCACCTGCGAAACTTTAAAAAGTAAACGACCTTTCCAAATCATACTTTCTGCTCTTTCTTTGGGTGCTTTCGAGCAGGACCTCCTCCAAATATCTCACATGAAATCATCTCTATGGGCTGTTGGATGGCTTTCATAGGATTAAGTCTGCATCGACTTTACCTGGTTAATCGCTGTTGAAACACCTGGCAAATACATAGCCACTCAAGAACCGAACCTATATTGTGTTATTTGTTTGAGTAGACGTTGAGGACAAGAGGTCCATGATCTGCGAAACTGTAAAAATTGTTCATAAAGAAATTTCATTGAGAAATGACTTTAGTTAATTGGCACTAGCACACCATCAGCCAGATATAGCGCTATTAATTAAATTTAAAATTGTCATACAGCATACCTGCCATACGTCCTTCACCGAAACCCACTTTCTGATTGAATACATTGCTGGTGTCCTTTAGAGCGAATTTAAGGCACTCACGTCAAAACTAAACGTCCTTGCCTCAAAAAGTAAAATACGCTCCATTGAAAGACATTGGGGAGGTTCTGGTCGGTTTCGCTTTGTATGGCTGACATGGCGGGCATCGATCCGCGAGACTCCTCGCCTTCCCATTCACATCAATGGATCGTCCTGTGAGTTTTGCCGATGGTGCGCTAAGTTTTTACTCCAGGTACGTTAGAAATTGATCGTAGGACGTTCTTTTGTCCCCTTTGGAGCGGAAATTGAATCTTGACAGCTGTACGCACAGTTTTGACACGGGTATGTTTGATTTTGAAAGTATTACATTATCACATTATCGCCTTTCCGTATTCGAAGAAATTATTTTCCCGGTCTGCTTCTTGGCTGTCCATAGACGTTCCTAACCCCGTACGTTAGAATATCGAAGAACGTACTTTGATTTTGACAAAGGGACGCCCTTTTGACTGCCGCACGCATAGATAGGAGAAGAGCGAAGCGTTTTTTGCGGATCGTACGTTAAGTTTTGAAAAAATGTCCATTGAGATATGAAATAGGACTTTAACAATTGGGAAAAAACTGTAAGGCGCATTATTCCTCTGCAACGCATATTTGCAGTGGAAAATATAGTATTCCTCGTTTTGCTGCAAGTCAATTTCGCTACCCATGGGGCGGGAGTCAAAACTTATCCTCCAGAGAAGCATCGCTAGGTTTAACTATCATCCGTTCAAATGGAAAAAAAAAGGCGAACCGGCAGGCTCATTTCTTTATCATTCCAAAACAGGATGGCAAGATATGTACTTTTTAGTGGTTTTTGGAAAGATGGTAGACCAAAGGAACTTCGGCATTAGATAATGATGCAACACGATCGTCCATGCATTTGTGCTGGCATTTTCCAACCCCACACGAAAAAAGGTAGGCCTGGACCTGAAGACAGTCCGTCGGTTGGGCTTAGGCCTAACGTTATTGAGTCCCGTAGACAAGGGGGGGGATGAGAGATTCTCAAGTACTTTTCGAGATCATCCGCTATCTATGCCACTTGTTTGTTGCCAGGCGGAAAAACTTGGTGGAGAAAAAGAAAATGGACAGATGGTATGACAGTGATCAGCTGTTCCGGTCTGGCAACTCTTAAGTTAGCAAAATGAGAACGAGGCTTGAAACAGGATTGATGGCGTTTTAACCGTTTTGCATCAAACTAGGAATCTTTCAGAGAAAGACGATGCAAGACAGGGATGAGTCGCATTTTTCGCTTTAAGAGCATTTTCCCCCTTTTGCTGAAGAGTAACGTTCGAGGAGCAGGCTCGTTCACCTAGCATCGAGGAATCGGAAACATGAACGAGATTTTTTTTTTTTTTAATAGCCGTTTTTGAGATAATTGCGGTTTCCAATCATTATTTAATGGCTGATAACTGTGCAGGCGATACCTGTGAAACTCATCCGCAATATAAATTCAATCCCTTGCTTAACAGGAATCAATTAATGATTAATTAATGACGTGGACAACGGCCATGAGAATAATAGTGGTAATGAATAGTCAAAATGATGATGAAAAATCAAAGATGAATAATCAGAGAGAATCAAACGTGCCAGATCAAATTTTATTTGATTTTTTTAAACACTGATCTGATTTCAGGAACGTTCCTTGCGAGAATCGGTTTGGTGTCAAATAACATACCGTGAACTCCCATGGATCCCCTGTAGTCGATTTATACGTATCCGGGTTAGGCCGGAAGTCTTTTAGCAAACAAATAATTAAACTCTGCAATCTTTTCACAAAGAAATTCACAGCCGATTTCATTGCTAACGTACGAAAAGCGAAACTCGAAGTGCGATTTTCATATCTTCAAGGACCTTTTCGAAACTTAACGCACGGAAAAGGACAAGAAGGCCGACTCGACAAGCGCCAAGGATGGATGCATGGCTGACGACTACAATCTATAACTCTGGTCTATACTCCAACAAGTCCTTACCGACCGATCACAAAGATTTTCTCATCGTTTAGAGTTGTCAGAGCTAAATGCTTCGTCTGAAAGAATTTCTTGCGTCGATGCAGAAGATTCAGCTTCAGAAAGCTTCAGAAAGCTGAAGCATGCACTCCTCAAAGTGATCTCGAATGCATTCGTGAAGTAAGCAGACCATAGGGAACCTCGGCTTCTTGATCTCTTTTTCCGCTCCATTTGCATCCTTGAGAGATTGGGTCAGCCGACAATTACATCCTGACCACTTCCGAGGTCCTGGCAAGGGGCGAGAGCCATATTTATTAAATACCTTGAAATAGACCATGCCGGTTTAGCTCGGTTGCAACCGAAGGACTGAGAAAAGAAAACCTCTAAATCAGGATTCTCGGAACGATAGGACAAAGTTCACCACGATACAAATCCTTTTATTTCAATCAATTTTTATAACATTTATTTCCCAAGCTCATTTGGACAGCATCAAGGAACCGACCTTGATGAATTCAAGTAAGTGACGCCCTCTTGCAGACGAACCCGTACAAAGTCTGCACAAACGTGGGAACCCAGGAGGAGACGAAGAGCGAGGCGCAATCCCCTCCGTCCTCGGTCGGATATCCATCCCAGTGCCATCCGGTCGTCGCGTTGAAGGGCGATCCGGATGGTGTCTCCCATTGCCCCGATTCCGGGTTCCTTCTCAGCCCCATCCAATACCTTCCGGGATGATCTCCGTTGACGTCATCCGGGTTCTGTAATGGGAATTCAGGCAGGAGGTCGCTAATAAGAACTCTATAGATATTCAAGAGGCATACCAGGGTATTATACAGGGTGTCCCATCTATCTCCTACACATTAAAAAAAAATGATTTAAGAATGGTTAATACATTCAACCTGAAAAATGAAGATAATTTAATAGAAACAATGGAAGTTGTTTCAACGCTCAGAACTCACACGGAATTGCGTTTCGTTCTGCAAATAACAGTTTTCAAATGCCCTCCGTTCTGATTGATGCACTTTTTGCTTCGAATTTGATTCGAATGGAGAAAGTGTCGAGAAAAGATATCCTGTTAATAAAATTGAAAGTTGTGCTTTTAGAGTACTTTTAGAGTGCATATTTAGTACTATTTGAGAAAAATTAATATTTGCTCTCTCGAAATGATGCGGGTTTGGGATAGTGATAAATGTAGTACTGTACAATGTGAATATAAAGCCGGTAGGTAGTCGATAAGGCTCTAACATGAAAACTCCTTTGTGCTTCCCAATGAAGCTTGAGGGACCATTATACAGATATGGAGGGAACATAAAACGAAAGAAACACACTCCTCCTATAGTTTTCCGTTGAAGTGATGTCCTTGGAATGCACACGGATTGCAGCAATTCGATAAGCATATGATAAACTGTGAGGGGGAGACAAGCAGTTCTCAAGTAGCGCTGTATAGATGCTGACCTGAAATCACCAAATGGGCTTAATTAAGGGCTTAAGATCTGGGCTTACATGATGAAGTTGAATCTGCGAGCCGTCGGCAAGCTCACACCCCCGTCTCAGCGTTATCCCTTCGTTACACGTTCTTTCGTGTGACGACCTCTACGGTTTCTATTCTGGAATGCCATCGACCCATCGACTGACTGCAATCACTTTCCAGTTGCAGTCGATGGGGTGTTTCGAGCTAATGCCATGGTGATGCTGTTGATAATGCCAAGTATCTGTCGACTTTTGGGGGAAGACAAGTTCAATCCACGAGGAGCGGAATTGCTTCGTTTTCGTAAGAATCCCTTTAAAAGTGAATTTTCGCAAGAAGCAATTCTAGGGGTCGCTCAAATTTTAAAAGTATTTGATATTATATTCAAGAAAGGGGAATGCCTTTGAAACGGCTTCGTACTCCCTACTTGATTGTCCTCTCAACATATTCTACGAACGATTCAGAGTGTTACCCTATCGGCACTGGTATCACTGCTGTCTCTGCGACCTCTTGGTGCCACGCAGTGTTGCCAAGTGTCTCAAGCACTCGCTCAAAGTTGATGAAGATATTCACTTCTAATTCTGTCACAAGTCGTTTAATGTGAAATACTACAGAGTTGGGAAAATGCTACAGATCACTGCTGATAATTCTCTGACGTTTGTTCAAATGAGCGAACGCAGGGCCTCAAATGGTGAAGGGTATTCATAGAACTTGAGAAGGTAAAAGTGGAATATTGCAGGTCATTGTAAAGAGCCCAAAATATGGAAGAAAAAAAACAGAGCACTCAAATTTTTACGTTTCGACTCGTCCTCCCCTTAAAATGCAACTTTTACGAAATATCCTCACCTGAGAATCGAGCCTCATGTAATTGATGAAGGCGTCCCTGACATAGTGATTGGGACTCAAAAATGTTCCATAAGCCCCTTCGCAACCCCCTGGCACAGTGGGACAGTGCTGCACTGCATCCTCGTACGTCATGGGTTCCGGGCCTCTGATGAAACAGAAGCCCCACGAAAATATCCAACCCTCCTCAATGTTGCACCCGCATATGACGCCCGAGTAATATTGATAGCAGAAGAAGTTCCGCTTCACGGAACAGTCCACGTTCTTCCACAACACAGGGATGAGGATGATCCCGTTGCCGGGATTCGACGATGACTCGGTCCATAATCCGCAACCTGTTGATAGTCGGACGGAGTCCCGTCGAAAAAAGCGAAGTTCCACGGATCCTCAAAGAGGGATCCAGTCGGGTATGCCCCTATCAAAGAGTTCCGTTTAACCACGTTTTCCTCCACGAATTTCTGCTCCTCCGGACTGTGAATGCTCACCAGGTCTCCGCCTTGATCCAGGCAAAAGGTTCGGGCTTCAGTCTGATTCGCAGGTCCCTTTGAGAAATAATAACAGTGATCTCCGAATGGAAGCCAGTCGGGATCACAACCGGCCTGTCGGCTCTTTTCCCCCGCGTATACATAGTGCACCGTGGCCCAAATAAATAACAACTGCAGGAAGCAAGGTATCATATCATTTCAGGAATAAATGTAAATATCAAGTGGTGGATCGATGTTTCTCACCTGAATCCACCTCATTGCTTTTGAAATTGCACTTGAATGGTGTTCACACTATATGTAGAGTCTGTCCCGAGAGTAGAAGTATCTGCACTGCCTGGCTTTCGACGCATGAAAGACGCATTTAATTTAAAGATAAAAAAGTTTTGAGAGTACCCTCTATCTCTATCCTCCTTGCTTGTTGCTAGGCGGTAGATATGACTTGAAGTGGAGATCGCCGAAGAGGCCATGGGATAGCCTGTCGCTGCTCATCGCATTCAGTGTGCAAGCAGTAGACAAGCGTAGGAATGATAGAGACGATGGAGAGATGATGGAGAGAAGACTCCCGAAGTGGAACTAAAGCCCAGTAGCATTGGGTGATTCCGGGGAGTCCCCCTGGCATCCCGGCGTCCCGTTTCCCCACTGCGAATTGCATTCGGGCGTCCCAGAGATCTCTTTTTTGTGGGTTTTCCTGGGACGTCCTCGTGAAGCATCCTGAAGATGTTGCACGAGAGTCCCCTAAAGGACATTTCTTGAAAGCTACCTTAGATGATTCTACCCCATCATTATCTGCATATCCTCCAGAAGTCTTACGCACATCCCTCGCAGAAAAGCAGCTCATTCCACGGAAGATTTCAGCAACAATCCCGAAAACCTCTAGATGTCTTCCCTCGGCAGGTCTTAGAATGCATCAATAGAATTAATTAGAACCTGCGCATTAGTTTGAGGGGACTCGTATTCTTTTGATAGATTGGGTAAATCAATCTGATTGTGGGGGATTTTCTATTCATTGAGGCAGTAAAAGACGTCCTGCGCTATATCCCCTCAGGACACCCCACTCTCGCATCGGTTGAGGGATTTAAAGGACCATCTTCAGGGTGGGCTTGAGTTCCACCTTTTACATTCAGCTGTCACATATTCGCTAGTTGAGATAGGTGCCTGCAATTTATGTCATTGCTTGGAATGGCTAAATCACAATCAAATGCACTTCATTTTGTGTGAATCAGTTGAGAAGTTTTTGCACAGTGACGATTTCACGCCGAGCGGTGAAAAACAGCCGCTGCGCGAACTGGCGTTTCTTTCTCGCGCCCGTACGTGTGTACGTGGGGGCCAGCATTGCACGCAAAAGCATTCCCAGGAAAAATGAGAGGCAGACGAAAAAACTCGAAATGACAGCCAAAACGATAGGGGTCAACGCAGATTTGCGCCGCAAGAGCCTCGCTCTTCCGAACGGTCTGCTGAAACTGTCCATAATGGTATTGG